GCACCCGGAAACTCAAAGTATGAAAGAATTACACGTTGAACACTAATCTGTAGCTTGACTTGAAACTGAACATCTATCAGAAAAATCATCATTACACGTCTTCCTCAGTCTGTTTTTTCTGCCTCTGCTCTTGTAAAAGGGAAACCAGTCGATGAAAACTAGGAAAAACAAAGCAGTGTTGAAGTGACGTAACAAACTGCTCACAGTCAGACAGAGTGCATGAATGAAGGTGAAGCAGAAGAAAAGCTTCACTCTGACTCTGTAGATGAATACAGCATGAAGCTGGTGTAACCGTATACATACCACGTGCCTCAGTATGTATGAGACCTACTGATCTGCAGACTAAAGCTGTTTTATAGTCAGAACAAAAGACCAACAACTGATATTTGTTCTCATTCAACCTGTGAAGAGGCAAAAAGGTTCTGTTTCCTGTTTGATTTGTTGGATCTGTGTGACGATAAAACAGCTCCAGTGTTGGAGAAGTGAGCTGAAGCTGGTCTGAATTATTTACACTCTGGTTTGTTTCGCTGCTGTTTGGTTTCATTTGACAGTAATTTTAACTCTGTGTCACTGTAAAGAATCAGAATCAGAATCAGAAACAGGTATAGTTTACACAATACGAGGAATTTGTTCTGGTGGGTTGGTGTGACGATAAATATAGAGTAAGGTACAATGTACAAGATGCAAATATAAAAATAGCCAAAACATAACATTAACAAAAAAAAAATTAAATAAAAATAGTGGTAACATTCTGAATAATTTACTGCATTTTACAGATTTTCCCAGATTTTGTTAAATTACAGATAACTAATAAAAAAAACATCCGTAATTTGTTGTATCTGTTTTATAAAATTACAATTTCTTTCTGGCACCCTTGTGGCTGATTTTTTTTGTTTTTAAATTAGAAAAGCAGGTTTAAATCTGAGGCCTCTAACTTAATAAACGTCAGATTTAAGAGGAGCTGAAGATGTTTTCTGGATGCTGGTAAAGTGCAGATTCAGCAGCAAACAGCTCCAGCGTGAGTGAAATCAAATGGACCAACTTCAGCTGATTGTGATCTTCAGGTTTGTGGGTTTTGTTCAGACGGTTGTGTTGCTTCAAGCGTCTGAACAAACGTCTGCAGCGCTAACGAAGCCGTCTGTCTGTCTGTCTGTCTGTCTGTCCACCTGTTTCCTCCTCTTTCGCTGTAGTCTCCTTTATTTTCTCCTCCTCCTCTCTATGCGCCTCCTTTCTGTTTGTATCTGTTATCTCTGTTCCTCCTCTTCCTCTCTCCTTCCTCCTCCTGGCCTCTGATTGGCTCCCCAGACCCCGACCTCAGCCTTGACCTTTCTGGTGACTCCCCAGTTCCCAGCGACCCAAGTGACCCGGTGACGCCTCTGACCCACGAGGAGATCCAGCGGATCCTCTGGAGGGAGGAGGAGGAGCACCGCGAGGAGGAGGAGCGCCTGAGCAGGAAGGACGAGGCCAGGAGGAAGAGGAGGAAGCAGAGGAAGGAGCAGGAGGAGAAGCAGAGGAAGATGGTGGAGGAGAAGAGGCGGGCGGAGGAGGAGGCGCTGAGGTTGCAGCTGGAGAAAGAGGAAGAGGAGTGGAAGAGGAAGGTGGAGGAGGAGGAGAGGAGGAGGAAGGAGGAGGAGGAGGACCGGAGGAAGAAGGAGGCGGCAGAGAGGAAGGCGAGGGAGATGGAGAGGAAGCTGGAGGAGGAGAGGAGGAGGCAGGAGGAGCTGCTGAGGCTGGAGCTGCTGAGCATGGACGAGGAGGACGAGGAGGAGGTCTGGCTGAGAGGAGACGTGTTCCAGATGCTCCCAGAGGAACCAGAAGACCTCCTGCCTGCTCCGATACCGAAACCTCCAGAGGAGCTGGAGGAGGAGTACGAAAGGGAGACGGAGCACGAACGGGAGAC